GTGCAATTATTAAACTACTGATACTGAGTCAGGGACTCATTCTACAACAGCAAGGACAATTTGCTGGCATTGCTCTAGAGAAATAAGCATCTTTATGTAGCCCAGGGAAACTGCTGCTATTTGTCTTTCATGTAATGTTAACTGTACAACAGTTTAATTTTAATAAACTGAAGAGACGATTCTTCATTTAGAAACTGCCAAACTGAATGTTCCTGAATGTTTATGTAAATATTATTTCAAGCAAGTCTGAAAGTGTGAGTCCATTAGCATTCATGATAACACATTAAGAGTAAAGCAACTATACTGATTTGTATCAATAGTCTTTGTATGATTTAATTATACGTTTACTGCTTGAGGTATTTCCTTCATGTGACATCTCTATCTTAGAAAGCTATAGCCAAAGGTAAATTTGATGCAATGACTTCTTTCTTTTTTGCTTTCTATAGCACTGATCTTATCTGAACTATAAACTTGAGTTTCTTTTCTCTGCACTTTAACTACTGCAAGCTAGCATATTTCATCCTTTTCCATACATAAGTTTTAAATTCTATGTAGATAGTATCATTTAGAAAATTAATTTCAGCAAACTTCCTGTCTATACACAGAGTTCTACATCTTCTGATGTATAAACAGGTTCCCTGTGGACAGGAGCTTCCAAGCTGGTGAAGGAAGGTCTAAAACTGCACATATGGACCTGTTTCCTTCATTGAATGAGTAGATAAGTAGAAAATGCAGGAGGTATATTGAAACTCCAAGGGATCAGGAAAAATTAATTGTAAAATATTAAAAAAAAAAAACAGCTTTAAAACACCAGCAACAACTGAAACACTTTCAGATTTGTTTAATGGTCACCTGAAGCTGTTTCCTTCATTGAATGAGTAGATAAGTAGAAAATGCAGGAGGTATATTGAAACTCCAAGGGATCAGGAAAAATTAATTGTAAAATATTAAAAAAAAAAAACAGCTTTAAAACACCAGCAACAACTGAAACACTTTCAGATTTGTTTAATGGTCACCTGAAGCTGCAATGTTGTCCATAATAAAATGTGCTTTGGTTCTATGTCAAGAAGAGAATTAAGTACAGGTAATCATGGCTAAATTGGAGCCATGGTGATTATTTATATGGTTAATGTCATACGAATATAGTTTATCATCAAATCTAAGGTTATTTCTTTTAATTAAAAAATTGTGTTAAGTTTGTCAAAGAAAATGTATATAAGAAACATATAAAAGTTAATTCAGCTTATAAGAAAAAATCATGTGGAGATGACAATAAGCATACCCATTCTGATGTGAAATACATCTGGCCTAAAGCAACATTATAATATAAATCTAAGAAAACTGCTCCAAGAGAAGAGTGTTTAGACATACACAATCCAAATGTAACATCATATTGAAAAGCAGCTTGATGATGGATATTCATTATAACTCTTGTTTTCCATGAGTGTGTGTGTGTGTGTGTGTATACACACACACACA